TTTTTTAACCAGTGGTTTCCTCTGAACACACTATTGTACTCATGAAAACAGATGTTCTGGCATACAACACATCCCCTACCGGGTTCTTTGACATCTGAGGATTGTATGACATAGCCTGAACATTCGACTCCTATTACCCTCTTTTCAAAAGGTCATTTTCGAGTCTCAAAACTTATTCATCAATTACTTCCATCACTTTAAAAGGGGCCATTTGTACAGAGCGCCAGCATATTCCTAAGGGTTCGAGTACATTAAAAAAAAACCCCTCAGTGTGCCCCACAAACTGCAAGGGTTAAATGCTCATTAAGTCTAAGAGTAAAGGAGAAAGGTGTAATATTTTTCAGTATTCCTCGCTCTGGCAGTCTCCCATGTGTGGCCAGTTCCCCCAAAGCTTCGTCTAAGGAGCATTGTGCTGGGGTAGTATTACGGTGCAGGATCAAGTGTGCTCACCCCAAGCCTTGAAAAGACAAAGAAAGATGAGTGATGAATAAGGTATGTATTACAGCTTTATTCTCTACCCCTAAACTTAAGTATTTGACCCTTGCAGTGCAGGTGGTAAAATGCTTAATTAGACTGCAATGTTTTTTTTTATTCTGGCATTAAGGGCTCACCTTCAAAAGAGGCACCAACTTAAATTGCATGTGAAAGCACAGAATCGAGAATTTCAAGTTTACTTGCAGTGATTCTCTTTTCAATAAATGTTTCCTTATCAATGTGGGCTAACAAAGTGATACTAAACTAAAGATTTTGTTAGCCATTTCAAATGCTGATTAAATCGAATCTCTGCCCCCCTGAACACTGGCTCAGATATTCTGTTTTAGGGCCCATTCACACCACATCACCAGACCAGATTGTTTCCAGACACAAAATGCATCCTATGCTATTTCTGGCCTCTGTTCACACCAGGCCAGATTAAAATAAATACTGCATGTCTCATTTTCTGGTCTGGAATGCGATGGAACTGCGGGCAGGTTCAGATCTGGTCCGGAAAATGGTGTGAATCTGCCCTCAGGGTGGCTAAGTTCCCTTACAGGGTCCTATGGAGCCACCCTTGTGTGCTAGTAGGCTGTTTGTGTCTTCACGGGTACAGCAATGCAAGCTAGTTCCCTGCTCTCCCCTCCTCTCTTAGCTAGTATATGGACAGCTGCTGGTGACTGCTCTGTCCTTGTGATCTTGTACTGGACAGGAAGTTCATGGAAGCGGAGATAGTCAGCTGAAAAATGACAAGTGCTTGGGAAAAGATGTACAAAAATACTTCACTAGGCAATGTGTAGTACTGTGAAGGTTTTAGGCAGCTGAGGAAATAAGTTTATTTTAACCAAATAAAATGAACAGAAGAGAAATCCAAATCAATATTTGGTGTGACCACCTTTTGCCTTCAAAACAGCATCAGTTCTTCTAGGTACACTTGCAGTTTGTGAAGGAACGCTGCAGGTAGGTGGTTCCAAACATCTTGGAAAACTAACCACAGATCTTCGGTGGATGTAGGCTGCCTCAAATTCTTCCGTCTCCAAATAATTCCAGACAGACTCAATGTTAAGCTCAAGGCTCTGTGGGGGGGGGACAAACCATCACCCCCAGGACCCATTGTTCTTCTTTATGTTATTAGTTCTTAATGACGTTGGCTGTATGTTTGGGGCCATTGTCCTGCTGTAGAATCGGGGGCCAATCACACACCTTGCTGATGGTATGACATGATGGATAAGTATCTGCTTGTGTTTCTCAGCTTTGAGGACACCATTGATCCTGACCAATTCTCCAGACATTATTGTACCACTCTCCAGCCATTCGGCTAACAAACTTCCTCCTGCTACAACCATATATTTCAAATTCTGACTGATCAGTCCAGGTCCCCTGCTGCACCCAGTTCCTAGGTTTTCATGCATAGTGGAGTCGCTTAGCCTTGTTTCCACGTCCAAGGTGTGGTCTTTGGCCACAATTCTTCCATGAAGACCACTTATGGCCTGACTTCTCCAGACAGGTGTGTACCTGGGTCCCACCCATTTGGTGCTGGTGGCACTGCTGGACATCTTCCAATGTCAAAGGGAAGTATGATGTTTCTTCTGCTGCATGGTTTCCTTGTCCGACCAGTCTTCCAATCCTCAAGATTGCCCATTTCTTTGTACTTCTTCAAAAGCGCTCGAACAGCATATTGAAACCCCAATCTGCTTTGAAATCTATGCCTAGGACAGGCCTTGCTGATGCAGAATAACTGCGTGTCTTGTTGCTGTGCTCAGTCTTGCCATGGGGTATGACCTGTGACATGAAGTGGTCTTCTACAACCTCACCTTAGTAGCAGTTTGGCTGTTCCTCACCAAGCTTTAAGCCTCCTACACAGCTGTTTGTTGATAACGGTTTCAACCTACCTATTAGATTGATGATTAGCACCTGTATGGTATAATTGGTAAATCATACACCTGACTAATCCTACAAAATCCCTGACTTTGTGTATGTGTAAGAAGTGATGCTGGTTTGTAACCGAAAGGGTAGTCATGCCAAATATTGATTTAAATTTAGACTTTTCCTCTGTTGACTCACTTTGCGTTCTGTAAATTGATAAAAATTTGTTTTTGAAAGCAATCTAACTTTACAGCATTTCTTTTCCACACCTGCCTAAAAAGTTTACATAGTCCTGGCCAAAGGTTTTGAGAATGACATTCATTTTCACAAAGTCTGCAGCTTCAGGTTTGTATGACGGTAATTTGCATATACTCAAGATTATGAAGATTAATTGCAAAGTCCCTCTTTGCCATGAAAATTAACTTAAACCACCCCCCAAAAACATTTCCACTGCATTTCAGCCTTGCCACAAAAGGACCAGCTGACATGTCAAGGTATTCGCTTAACACAGGTGTCAGTGTAGACAAGGCTGGAGACTACTCTGTCATGCTGATTGAGCTAGAACAGACTGGAAGCTTTAAAAAGGAGGGTGGTGCTTGAAAGCATTGTTCTTCCTCTGTTAACCATGGTTGCCTGCAAGGAAACAGGTGCAGTCATCATTGCTTTGATCAAAAAGGGATTCACAGGCAAAGATATTGCTACTACTAAGATTGCACGTAAATCAAACATTTATCAGATCATCAAGAACTTCCAAGGAGAGAAGTTCAATTGTTGTGAAGGCTTCTAGGCGCCTTGGAAAGTCCAGCAATAGCCAGGACCGTCTCCTAAAGTTGATTCAGCTGCGGGATCGGGGCACCACCAGTGCAGAGCTTGCTCAGGAATGGCAGTGAGGCAAAGACTTTGAGGATGGCCTGGTGTCAAGAAAGGCAGCAAATGTTCCGTTAGACTTACCGGTAACGGTATTTCTAGGAATCTTCCAGGACAGCAACCTGAGAGATGATTGGTTCCACCTTCTACAGGAAAATGGCTGGAAAAAAGCAGGCCTCCCTTAACTTTATTAAAGGGCCAGGTTCGCCGCTGGGTCTGGGCCTTATGAGGTTGCTTCCTCTGTTCCAGGGGGGGGGACGAAAAAACCTCCGGTTACGAGTTCCCTGCAACCCCCTCTTTCTTTTATCCGGAAATTTCTTCCCCTTTTCAGAGGATCTGGTCAAAACATCTTCTAAACCAGAACCAAACATCAAACCCCCCTCAAAAGGGAGACATGCCAGAAGG